TATCTTACTAGGTGTTCCACTCAGAAAAGGTAAGGGGGAGGAAAAAGGTTAAAGAGGTTAAAGTTTGGCATGTGAACGGATGAATGTGGGAAGGAAGGGGAGACAGGGTAGAGTGGCAAAATGCCTGAGACCGTGAGCCCGTGACGGGTGAGTGAGGACTTTCCGGATATCTTTCTTCTTGTATTCCTTATCATAGCTGGGGCGGGGGCCGGCAAGTGGCATGGTGGTTAAAGGTGCTGGATTCCCCCATGGCCAACCACAGTTTAAGTCTCAGACTTGGTGGCTAGCTTTCTCACTTCCTCTCTCTCTCTCTTTCTGTTTCTCTCTGTCTCTCTCTGTCTCTCTGATCAAACTGGAAAATAATAATGATAATAAAAATAATTCTTTAAAAGATAGCTAGAGGTAGCCTTGAACTTGTCTGTGCTTCTACCAGTCAGGCTGTTGAGGAGGGTACGCTCTCTGGGCGATGGCCAGGCAGGGAGGGATTGGCTGACACACAGTGGACTAGAGGCTTTGTGCTTCTCGGGCCTCTCTCACTTGTGTGTTTGGTCCAGTTTAAGTGTTGGCAGGGTCACCTGTGATAAAAGTTTTAGACTCGTAACTGAATCTCATTCTGAGCATAGATAAAAGTCTGTAGGTTTTATGTGTATATGTGTTTCTACTTCAGGAATCTAATAGATGCTATCTATATACATTTATATGTGAGAACTAATTTGATCTGTAATCAGATTTTCAAAACTTAGAGGGATGTGATCTGAATTCCATAAAATGATTGGTTTAGACTCAGTAAATGATACAGTTCTTTTTTTTTTTTTTCTTTTTTCTTTTTTTGCAGAGGTTTTTGCTATAGGTGGGTGCACTCGCCAGACAGAGAGAGAGAGATAGAAAGCGAGAAATCACCCCCCGGGGGGGATGGCCACGCTGCAATCCCTTCTCCTCCATTCTCCTCTTGGGATCTTGGGCACGCACGCACATGCACCAGGCGTGAGTTTAAGCCGCTGGGTCCGGGACTCAAACCACGGTTGACTATGTGGGAGTCCAGCGACATAGCCATTACGCTAACTGCTGGTTCCCATACAGTTCTTTTTGGCTCTAGCACATTTCATGACTTCCTGGCCTGCTCAATAGAGTATTAATTTCTCATTGGCATTGATTATAAATATTAGTTCTATATTGACTCTAGTTTCTTGACAGAAATAAGCTACTAACAAAAAGAAGCTCTTGTCAATTGTTTAAGATGAAGTTGTTTCTGATTCTAATTGGCATAAATTTTAATTGTTTGTATCTTTTGGTTTAATTGTTTGTATCTTTTGGTTTATACAGGAAAAATAACCTATCCTATTGTATGAAAAAATTGGAGAAAAGCATTTTAAGTTTTCTTTCTTTAATGAAATTAAAAAAAATTTTTTTAAGAATATTTTATTTAACTTTATTTATTATTTTATAATTGGACAAGAGAGAGACAGAGAGAGACAGAGAGAGACAGAGAAAGTGAGAAAGCAAGCCACCATCCACCATGTCTGGAACTCAAACCATGGTCGGCCATGTAGGAGTCCAGCACTTCTAACTACCATACCACTTGTTGGCCCCACCTGTCATGATTTTTGGGCTGCCAGGTCAGGACTCTAACAGGGATTGCCAATTTAGGAGTCCAGCTCCTTAACCACCCTACCACCTGCTGGTCCCTAATTTTAAATTTTTATTTTTATTATTTTTTTTAAATTTCACTATAGGATACATGTGCTTGCGGGAACCAGCAGTTAGCGTAATGGCTATGTCGCTGGATTCCCACGTAGTCGACTGCGGTTCGCGTCCCGGACCCGGTCCCGGACCCGGTGGCTTAGAACTCACGCTGGGCGCGTGTGCGTGCGTGCCCAAGATCCCGAGAGGAGAATGGAGAAGGGATTGCGGCGTGACCATCCCCCCTGGGGGGTGATTTCTCGCTTTCTGTCTCTATGTCTTTCTCTGTCTGTCTGGCGAGCGTACGCGCCCTATAGCGAAAACCTCTCAAAAAAAAAATAAATAAATAAATAAAAGGATACATGTGCTTGCCAGAGAGAGAGAGATACCAAATCACCCTCCAGAGGGGATGGCCACACCGCAGTCCCTTTTCCTCTCTTCTCTTGGGACTTGGGGCACACATGCATATGTGCCTGGTGTGATTTTCAAGCTGCCCATTGTGGGACTCAAACTACTCGGTTTGTCATGTGAGACTTAGAACCTTAACCTCTATGCCACACCCACAGGCCCATAATTTTTATTTTTCTATGATTTCTTATAATACATTATCATTTAGAGAGAAGAAATGTAGTGATCTTCAGCTGAAGATTTGGGCTCTCAATTAAAATTATGTAATAATTTTTTTAAGAAAGGGGGACCAGGGGACCAGCAGTTAGCATAATGGCTATGTTGCTGACTCCCACATAGTCAACCGCGGTTTGAGTCCCTGACCCGGTGGCTTAAACTCACACCAGGCATGCCCAAGATCCTGAGAGGAGAATGGAGGAGAAGGGATTGGAGCGTGGCCTTCCCCCCTTGGGGGTGATTTCTTGTTCTGTCTCTCTGTCTCTGTCTGGCGAGTGCACGCGCCCTATAGTAAAAGCCTCTCCAAA